CCCCACCCTAGGGCCTAAGGCTCTCCCCGTAGTGCCTCACTGTCCTCAGAGGCAAGGCCACACTCCTTACCTTGGCCCCCAGTTCCCGGGGTCTCTCTGCTGCCCACACCACCCCTACCCCCTTCACCTGCCTGCCCTTCCTTCAGCCCCTCCTGCCTCTTGGGGTGCCTGCCACCGGGCTTAATGAAGGTTCGTGGAATGAATAAATGAAATGCCACCACCGCAGACAGGCTCCCGGTCCAGCTGGCTTACGAGCCAGGCCACCCCCTCCTCTTGGTCCCCTGCCCATTGAACATCCCCACAGTCCTCAGCCCCCACAGAGATGGCTCTGCTCATGGGCCCACTGTTTGTTCACCTGGCTGCCAGCAGCCCAGCCCAGCGTAGAGCCTGGCACACAGCTGGTGCTCAATAAAGAGCAGCGGCTGGCGTGGGTGGTGCCTGTGGAGGCGGCTGCGCAGCCGGGGGCTCAGCTTTGTCTCTCGGCCCAGCGGGTCGGGTCCAAGGAGAAAGGACCCCTTGGTGTGTTTGTTTGCTGCAGGACGCAGGCCCAATAGACTCCGTGTCTTTCTTCTCTCCTCCTCCATCCCCGCGCGGGAGCTGGGGGAGCAGCAGTTTCCAGAGATTGAAGGCAAAATTGCTTGAAAGCCTGCACTTTTATCCTCCAATTTGTGGCCATTTAGCAGGGCCGGGTGGAAGGGCAGCGAGGACTCTGGCTGTGCAGGCAGCTGAGAGGCGCCCACCGCTGCAGAGAATGGGTTCTTTGTCCTTCCTCAGGCAGCCCCGTGCTGCGGACCGAGGCCCACCCACCCGGGTGCCAGAGGGGAGGCCAGTGGCAGCCTGCCATCCACCCCATGGGGCCTCCAGGGCTGTGAGGGCTTCCCCGAGCTCCGGGCCACAGGGAGGGTCCGCTGCCCCTGCCACCACCTTCCCAGGCTGCCCCTGCTCCAGCCTCTCTGCCCATGCAAGGGGACCTAGGCTCACCCCTCCCGCTGGCTCCAAAGGAGGGGGTCCAAGAAGGTGGTCCTGCCTGGACCAGAGGGGTCCCTTGTGGTCGAGGGGGGAGCCAAGGGAAGGGGTGCCAATTTAGGATTCTGGAGGAAGTCTTCCGAGCGCTTGGGAGAACAAGGTGCAGGCACAGCTGTGGGGTGAGAAGATGTCTGGAAGACGAAGGTTTGTCAGTTTTAGATGTCGCTGTGGACAGCTTCTCCATGCTGCAGTGGTGACAGTCAGAGCCAACGTGCATCTGAGTGCCAGAGACGGGGCCCTGGGCGCCTGGCTGTGAGAGAGGACCACCAGGCCGGTGAGAGCCTCTCTCTACCGTGGTCAGAAGGACTGCGGAAGCTGGGCCAGCACGGTGGGGGAGAAGCAGAGGCTGTGTGCATGAGGTGAGGGGAGAGAGGGCTCTCGTGGCTAGAAAGGAGGGGAGGCTTCCTGGAGGAGGTAGCATCTGACCCACCCAAGTTTGTATAGCCCCTAAATGAGGCTGGGCTTGCCCCTTCTCCAGGGACTCTGGGCACCTGGGGTGAAGGTTAGTGTTGGCCCTCTCTGTGGTGCCCACTGCACCCACCCCCATCAGGTCCTTCTCCTGGTTCCGGTCCATCACCCTCAGTCCTGCCTCCCGGCCTTTGCCCACAAAGCTCCTTTACCAGAGACACCTCCACTCCTTTGGCCCACCCTCCCCTCCACCCCTCACGATTGGCTCCAGCCCCCCAGCCCTTGGAAGCTCCCCAGGCAAAGATCATTGCCAAGAACGGTGAGACCCATGCGGGGGAGGGGGCAGGCTGCAGCAAGTGGGGGCTGTGGCTTGTATTTTCAAGACCGAATGAGCCCCCACCCAGCGCCATGCCACCCTCCAGGACGGAGGGCACAGGGGCGGTCCAGCGGGTGGGGCACCGCTGGGGTGCGCATCCCTTGTTAGGATTAAACCCTGATGCAACCACTGGGCTGGCCTCTCCCTGACCGCAGTCCCCGACTTGGAAAAAAACACTGAGGCCAGAGGAGGCGCAGGTCTGAGTGCCCTCATGCCTCCCTGGGGAGCTCAGCCCGCCCCCCCCACAAAGTCCTCAGGGATCAGCACCAGTAAGAAAATACACTTTACTGTGGGCCTCGGGGTCCACAGGGGCAGCGCCACAGGTGCACGGGGAGAAGAGCATGCAGAGCGCCAAGCAGGTGTGGGGGGTGGCGAGGCGGCCCCTCTGCTGGGCCCTGGCCTCCTCTGATGGCCCCTGCGAGCCTCAGGACCCCCAACCCCAGGAGACTCTGGTTGAGTAGATGGAGTGGGAGGGGTGGCCTCTGGACAAGCAGGCGTCCGGAGCTCTGGCCACGCTCAGAGCTGCCAGTCGGGGCCCAACACACCCCGAGCTGGGGCGGGTGGGCAGAAGCAGCTGGCACAGCTCAGCCGGAAGCGGCAGCACAGAGGAGGAGGGCGTGGGAGCCCACACCTGCCAATCCAGCCCCGAGCTCCTCAGCAATTTTGTCTCTCTTGATTAAACATCCAAGGAACAGCAAGTTCACGGATGTGTTTTCTTCTCCGTCTTCTTGAAACACCCAAAATGGAGAAGCAGAGAACTGCCTTGCGGTTCCTGGGGGGCACCTGGCACTTTGGGAGTAGCGAAAGTGGGAGCGGAGAGGGATGAAGGATCCAGGCCCAGATTTAAGCAGGGGACAGGCCGCAGTGAAGGAGTGGCCGGGGCTTGTCTGGCACCAGGAAGGTGTGCAGGTGTGTGCTGGTGCAGGGGCAGAGCGCCAGCTCAGGAGGCCTGGAGCACACACCAGTGCTTGCTTTGGGAAGAACACTGAGCAGTAACTGTGTGAAGGGGGACATCACTGGTCATCACGCTGTCTGGGGGACAGTCAGAGAGGCTGGGACCTCTGGGTTGTCTCCCCTGGGGTGGAGCGGGGTTTGGGTGGCCACGTTCCCGTTCAGGCAGCAAGGGCTCTTCCAGTGAGGCCACCAAGCTGCCTCAGCTGCTGGCAGATGGTCTGAGAGGCTGCCATGGCATTTAGGGTGGGCCAAAGACAAGGCGTGGCTCACACCTGGGGGGTGGCCAGGTGGAGCGGGGCATGGCCCAGCTGCCCGGGAACCCGGGGCCCGGTGGTGGGGGCGGGGCCAGAGGGGGCCAGCTCACTTCCAGCAGTGCTCCAGGGAGCTGTGGGGCTGGAGCTTGAGCTTCTGGGGGCAGAGCAGCTTGGCGAAGGCTCGGCGGAAGCTGTGGTGGCACAGCGGATAGAGGACAGGGTTGACGGCCGAGTTGGCCCACAGCAGCCAGAAGGACGTCTCGTACCAGTAGTCAGGGATGCAGTGGCCATGGCAGGCGGCCCGGATGATCATCAGGAGAGTGTACGGGGCCCAGCAGAGCCCAAAGATGCTCACGATGACTGCCAGTGACTTGGCCACCTTCTTGTCCCGCGAGAGCCGGAAGCGCTGGGTGATGCTCTGGGACACCATCTTCATGCGCTTCTCCAGGGATCCTGAGGACGCAGATGGCTTGGAGCCCCTCTTGAGCGAGCGGGGCCGCTCGGTGCCCCTCGAGGAGCTGCCGGAGCTGGAGGTGGGTGAGGCCACAGCACCCCCACCGCTGCCACCCCCGAGGGCCACCTCCCCAGCCTCAGTGCCTGGGGCCACCTCACTGACCCCAGACCCATGCTGATGCAGCGGCACGGCTTCCCCGCACCCCTTCTGCCAGCAGCCCCAGCAGCCGGAGGCGGCGGGCAGTGGAGAGGGCTGGGCCTCGGGCATGGGCTCCGAGCCCGCCACCTCACGCGCCCCATCCAGCCGGACGCGTGTGCGCCTCTGGATGTTCAGGTAGATGCTCAGGTTGAAGAAGGTGACACTCAGGAAGGGTGTGAAGAACTCAAGGGTGGAGGCCGTGATGAGAAAGTACCAGTTGTAGAAGAACTCAGCATAGCAGTGACCCTCGGGGATGGAGCTGCCCCCTGACAGGTACTCCCAGCTGAGGATGGCCGGGCCATACAGCAGGAAGGCCAGCACCCACACCAGCACCATCTTCCACACTGCCCGCCGCGTGTCACCCTGCTGCGCCCGGTAGGAGACCTGCAGTGGGACACACTGGGTCAGGAGGGGAAAGGACAGAGCCCAGGCCAGTCGCTGCCCCCAGCTGCAGCAGGAACGTCGGCCTGGGAGCTCCCAGCAGCCTCTAGCTTCTGTGCTCACCCTTCCTTCACAGCAAACGCTTCTCCCTTAACCTCTATCCTCCTGTGAATCCCAGGCAGTCTGTGTCACACTCCTGGAGCCTTGGAACCTCCCTCAGATCAACCCAAATCCTAACCTTGTGCCAGGCTGCCTGTTTACCATGTCCCCACCAGTGTGCACTCCCCCAGGGTCATGTTATTGTCCCCTTCGACTGAGCAACTGCCGTGTGCCAGGCTCTGGGCTCTGCACCTGCTGATATCATCTTATTTAATCCTCACAGCTGCTTCACCATTATCTCCACGTTCTTGAAGGCTCGGGCAGGGAGGGACAGATCACAGGTGAATTGGCTCAAGGGGCAGAGCTGACCCCAAACCCACGCTCTTTGCATTCTGACCCAGTGCGTCTCTAGACTGGACACATGAGGGCCCCAGCAGAGGGCCCTGGGGTACTCGATAAAGCTGTCAGAGGGAACATGAGAAGGCACAGGAGTGACCTCTGCTCAGTGCTGCTGGCCACATGCCTGCATGGCACTGACATGGGAAGTCCAGGCAGTCCAGGGTCCCTGACTCTTGGTGGCCACCCACATCCAGGAAAGCTTATGGAACCTGTCTTCCTGGGGCACACACCGGCAGGGAGGTACCACCCTCAGATCCTCCCTCAGCTCCAGGGACTCGAGACCTGCTCCAGAGTGGAAGCTGAAGTGACCCCTTTCCTTCAGGTCCATATTGTGCCCTCTGCCTGAACCAGGACCAGCCCTACTAGTGGCAAATGGCTACTGAGTGGGCAGCTGGCCATAGAGCTCCAGGTGTGTCAGGTGTGAGGCCAGTGAGGACCAAGGCCACCCAGCACCACCCACACCTTGGCAGTGGCTGCACACCCTGCCCAGGGCTTCCCCTGGCCACTGCTGACCGCCCGTCCCCGAGGGCTGAGTGCGGGCCCCCACAGCCCAGACTCACGGCTCGGGTGACCGACAGGAAGCGGTCATAGCTGATGAGGACAATGTTGAAGACGGACGAGGTGCAGAGCAGGTAGTCCACCACCAGCCACAGCTTACAGAGGCCCCGGCCAAAGGGCCAGCGGCCAGTCAGCACGTAGGGCACGTACAGTGGGATGCAGAAAGCCCCTGGGAAGAGGAGGGCCTTGGTGGGCCATGGCTGGACAGGGGTCTGGGGTCAGACCTGCCACAGCAGAAACAGGCAGGACTTGGGGTCACACCGTGGGCCCCTTTCTGGGCCCAGCAATCCTCCCTCCACCTCATACCTGGGCACAATCTCTGCCCTGCACTTGGCCTTCAACCCCTGCCCAGCCCCAGCCTCACTGATGTCCCCTGGACTCGGGGGCAGGAGGAAGACCTAGGCATGAGGGTCACTGGCCGGGATAAGACCCGGAGCCTTGATTCAGTCATTCCCGGGCTTCCGTCCAGCCCCTCCCGGTGGCCCAAAGGAAGAAAGGTGAATTTCCTCCCTCTCCTCCGGCGCCACCGGACCTCAGCTCTTGTTCCGGCTTTTGGACGGCTCTCCCTCATCAGCTCAGAAACCGAGAAAGCCTTTCTCCGGACTCAGAGGGCACTTGGCCGCCGCCACGAGGGCGGCTCCCACCGCCAAGCCCCGCTCTGAGCGTCTGGCAACAGCCCCAACAGGTGTCTGGCGCTCCAGCCCCCTCCTTGCGCCCCGCCCCCCAGCCGGCAGCAGCGCACGGACACGTGAGAGCGCGCTCCTCAGAGCATCTCCCCACCCCCTCGCCTTCCCCATAGCCTCCTCCCCCAACACAGCTCTAAAAATCCCCCTTCCATGTCGCCTACCCCGAAACTCCCCCAAACCTCCCCCCAGAGCTCTCCCCATGTCCTGAGTCCGCTGCAGCCTTTGTTTGGCTTCGGCGCAGGAGCCAGCGCTGCACCGCGGCCGCAGCGCCTTGCGCCTTGCCGAGCGCCCGCCCGCCCTCTGGCGCCCCTTCCCCGGGGACATCCTTCCTCAATCCCAGTCCCGCGGCCGGGGAGGCAAGGAACTTCGCCTGTGCCCACCGCCCCACAAGTCCCGAACTCCCCCCTCCCCAGGCCGGGCCCCCTAGCATAGCGTGTCCCCGAGGAAACGGCACCCTAGGTCCGCGCTCCAAATCCCGCTGGCCCGACCCTGCCGGGCGCCTCTGAGCTCAGGCGGGGGCTGGGGGATTTACCCACGAGGAAGTCGGAGATGGCGAGGTTGAGCAGAAAGAAGTTGTTCTGTGTGCGAAGGCTCGAGTCGGCCACAAAGGCGAGCATGACCAGCGCATTGCCCAGCACAGTGGCCACGATGAGCAGCGCCATGAGCGCCGCCAGCACAGCGGTCCAGGCGGCGGAGAAGCCGCGCGCCCCGCCCGCCGCCGCC